TTAAAGAAAGAAAAACTTTGTACGTTAAATAGAAACGCTATAACTTAACGTACAGAAAACACTACTGACCATACTCTAATAAATGACTTTGGATGTTATTTTTCGATGACTAATAAATTAGGATTTTGAACTATATACTTCTTATAAGGAAATAATATTATTTTTAAAATATTTTTATTATACGTATTTATAAAGTAAAATACGTATGTTTAAAAAAAATTTAAAATTATTCATTAATGGTATTAAGTTTTGACTAGTAGGTCTATTGGTAGCGTTTAATTTTGTGAATTAAGAATATAAATTACTATCCTCGATTACGAATCAAAATGCAGATGCGCTCTCACCCGTGAGGACTTAGATGGAATACCTCGTTTCCAGTAAAGAGGGTCTCCGGTTCTCTACACTTACCATACGAAACACAGCAGCATTAAGCTACTATTTGACGCCGGTATTCCGTGAGAGCGTGGTTCTTCCCCGGTTGAGCCGACCCATTCGTGCTACAACTACTCTCCCGTAATATAACTACAGCATGGCTCTACCACGCTAAAAAATTTGCTTTGGCCAGCTAAACATTTATGTTTTATTATTCCATTAGATTTTTATTATTTTAAGACTAATATTACCTATAATTTATTAATTATTTTTAATTGTTGTTTTCTATATTAAGTACTGATTGAGTTAAAGACCAAGATTTTAATATTTTAAGACTAGACCTAGTGCAAATAATTATATACAATTGTTGATTAGTGAATAATTATGTACCATTTGTTGATTTCTGTAATAAGTCAGTAAGACCAAGATTTTAATATTATAAGACTGATTTTTCTAGTGCGAATAATTATATACAATTGTTGATTGGTGGATATTTATGTACCATTTGTTGATTTTTATAATAATTACTGATTTTTTATTCCATAACCAAGATTTTAATATTATAAGACTGATTTTACTAGTGCGAATAATTATATACAATTGTTGATTGGTGGATAATTATGTACCATTTGTTGATTTTTATAATAATTACTGATTTTTTATTCCATGACCAAGATTTTAATATTATAAAACTGATTTTCCTAGTGTGAATAATTACCTATATACAATTGTTGATTAGTGAATAATTATGTACCTTTTTTTATTTTAATAATATAAAATTACAAATGAATAATAAATGTGTTTTTTTTTACTTAAGGTATGAAGAGCAATTTTTCATTTTGTGTTGTGCGATTTTCTTTCTCAATCTGAAAATCACTTAGCAACATCAGCATCATATGAAACCCCCATTGTCATAAGAGCGTGACTTTTCTTCTGTGATTCACTTGGCCTACGCCTCGCCATAAAATATTTTGAATCGATTTCTGTATATTTTGGTTAGATCGATTTTGAAATCGATACACAACGTGCGACACGGCTACATCTCTAAGAAAGTTTCAAAAAGAAAGGTCAGCTACGCCGTTGTCGTCCAGTCGTGACAGTGACGTCATCACGATGGAGAGTAGTGTTGTGGTTTACTACTAATTTATTGTTATTGTTTGTTTTTTTATTTATGTACAAAGTACATATATAAAAAGAGTGGAAGACAGCACAAGATTAAATAAAACATACCCGATTATAAAGAGTCATTTATTGTATAAAAAAACCAACAAAAACCAGATATTTTGTGTTATCGATATATCAACTCTTGGCAGCACTGTTTTTTTTCGTAGGTATTTTTGTTTACTTTTCGCTTTGGCGTACAGGACACGGTAGTGAGTTTTTGGCGTGGCGCTCAAAAGGTTAGTGAATTTGTATGATTTCCTTTCCACGTCCTCACTTTTTTACTGAAATATAACCAATCATATTACTAGTCTGTGAATATAACCAACTCGAACCCACAGAACACTATTACTCCCAGGGCCTTTGTAGTTAGAAAATTTTTCTGTTCTATAGAAACTGGCATTGCATATTTAGTTCCACAACTCCCCAAAGGACGGCGCTGGAGTAAGTTTACGTCCGAAAACGCGTTGTTTTAATTAATTAAATCAAATTCAATGATCGTATCACATTGGTTAAATCAACGTGTTAATAATGTGAATTTAAATATTTTCACCAGAAAATTAGTTAAACAACTAATTTTATTAAGATTTATCTGCTATAAGTCTAATTTATTTGTTTAATTGGAAGATGGAATATTGGTGTATAACACGAAATTATAATTTCTAAACGTGACCACCCACTACCACCATTTTGACATTTTGTTTGTTTTTGAATTTGACTGTGCTTTGAATGTTTTAGATTTTTTCTATATTTTCTTACGACTTGGCTATTCTTGGACTCCGATTATAAATCCAAATTATTATTTCTTATCGGGATTCGAACCCTAAAACTATCCACAGTAAGACCGTAATGGAGTGCCCCTCCACGGTACCGTGGGTTAATGTCCACGGTACCTTAGATACCGCGGACATGAATTCATGTCCGCATTACGTGCTGCTATTTTCGTCTTAATTTATATAAAAATACAGTATATTTTTAATTGAACACTATTTCATTCGATTCTGAACGAACTAAAGAATATTCTGAAGAATTATATTCACTCGGTTACATAGACAAAATCAAATATAACAGCCATTCCTAGTATATATACAGTAATTTTATGTCCCCATTCGCTTTTGCGCTGCTGTTGCGGTTGGTTGTGTAATCGTCGAAGTTTTGTAATTGTGATTTTAGTTGGATTTTCTTTCAAAAAACGGTAAGTAATGTTATTTATCTTTACTACGTAATGTTTTTGAATGATCTAGGTTACAACAACAGTAACTTTTTATGTTTCAATTAATAAAAAAGTAGAAATATAAAACCTCTACGCGAACAACTCATAACGGTCAAGATTTCTAATAACATTCTAATAAAATAATAATAGTATATTTCTTATTGGAACACCATAGTAAATACTTTTACTAGGAATTGCTAAATGTTATATCTATATGATTGTATAAGAAAAATAAAGGAAGACGATATAAAATATATACACAAGAAGGTTTTGAAAATGAGTTTACAAAGCACGCGCAAACTGTCTATTGTCGAATTTTTAGCAAATGTTTGCAAGTGAAAAAGTAGAATTATTATAATTATTACATGCATAATTTCGGTTCATTTAGGAATAATATGTTGTATTGATTGTAAGGACATAAAAATAAAATAAAAACTTACGATATTTCATTCATAAAACAAAATTTATTGTCAGTAAGTACACTTTAAGATCCGTTAGAAACAAAGAGCTGTACAAAATAAAATAAACATTTAAATGTTATGGTTATTGTTTCTACTTATCGAAAATCTTATCGGCTTTAAATAACTGTAACTAAAACCTCTTTAAACATAAATGAAAGGTCGTGAGAAACATAAATATTTAAAACAAGTGCCGCCAGAGCTGAGGTGACGACAGAGGCCCCCCGTACAAAGCTGTTTTTTTATGGCGGGCGCAGTAAGGGAAAGGTTAATACAGTGACCCACGCACGTGAAAGGGACTTCGATATCTATCCTCCGGACATAGTTCATATAGTTTAGTGATGGCCGCGGATAAAATATGCTGTGTTTCAGGATGTACTAAAAGCCGTGAGTAAATCCAATTATTTACAGATTCTACCAATCAATATATTATTTCTCTTTCTATTTTATACATAAGTCAGTGACATCTTGGGCAACAATTTGATACCTAGTGCAGACGCAGGTAGCCCAAGAGTTTTGTATCACTTTTGCACCCTTAGAGCCACTACTTTGCTATGTATACTTATAACACTACTGCTTATACTACTGTCATTACACTTTTCAAAAACACTTCTAAAATATTAATTTTTTTTTGTAGGTGAAGATGGCTATGTACTTTACAAATTTCCGAATCCTACAAAAGATCCAACACAATTTTGTACATGGGTTCAAGCAGTTGGTGGAAACCTTCTGTGCTTAGTAAAGATGTGCATTACCATTGTTGTAATGATCTATTCTTAATATTATGAATGTTAAAGTTAATATGGTAGTTTGTTCATAAAATAATTAATTTTACTATCAAACATAAACAATTGAATGTATAAATGTTGATTCATTGTTAAACTATGTTATGACAAAATATTATGCATGATATGCAAAGCAATTTTATTTTTGAATAACTATTTGATTCAAATGATAATAAAAAGCTTATAAATTAAGGCTTTTATAAAGCTTATATGAATATCAAAATCTACACCAGTTCATAAATATTAAACTTTCTCAGAGTACATCTGGGAAGAAACATGAGTTTATGTTGCAATAACAAATATATAGTGATCTAAAGATCTTTACCAGTACTAATGAGAACATACTATATTCTAGAATATGTTTAATTATTTTTTAACCTTATTGTCCTTTAGTATCTATTTAAAGTAATGATGATCTTCAATTTGGTATCCCATTCTTTCACTTCATTCAATCTTAGAATATCATATTTAAAGTTTAGATGCCAAAATTTGTGCAGTATTCATTTGTTTAAGAACAAAAAAGTTAGTATTTCATTTGGTCTTATTAATAAACTTAGTTTATCACAAAAGAAGTTACTTAATTTGCCTCAGTAAACTTCTATTTTAATAAAATCGAATGTGTAACTATCAGCAGCTTCATTTTTATTTATTTTATTTTATTATGCTACTTGTGGTATTTGTTGTTTGATATTGTCTGTTGGAAGATGTTGGTAGTACTTCAGTTTTACTCTTTCATTTGCTACATGGGGTTGCTAATATGTGTATGCTGTGATTTTTTGCTAATTGGTAGTAGAGAAACTAATCTTTGCAATGAACAAACCCAAGCAGGTTAGAATTTTTGTTAGAGCCGTCAGTTCACATTTCTCACTGTACTATTGTTAAGTTGTCAATATGTTTGAAGCATAATATAATCATTCATTTTAAATATTGAATTAACAGGTGCTGTTGCTAAAAGGCCACCCTTAGCTGAAGTAACAAATAAAAATAATACTCTTAAAACAAGCAATACACATGAAATTGTCAACATCAAGTTATGTGCATGAGACAACTACTGCTCCAACATCAAGTAAGTTAAAATTTATTTTATTGTATAAATGAAAATGAAGATAACATATTGTAAAAGAATTTTATTTCAAAAAAAATTCCCACTGGGTTTCGTGCTGGTTCTGGTAAAGGTTTAGTATCAAGTCACTTTAATAGACCCCCCTATGTGTGGCGAGGGGGAAGGGAGGTGGAGAGAGGTAGATTCGCCCCCCGCCCCCCGCATAGTATTTTATTAAGATGCATAGTATTTTTATATTAAATGTTAAAGATCAAAATTTTATTAAATCATTTATAAGAAACATCACCTTAATAGGTAGTTGGGGAGAGGGGGCGTGGCCCCTCTTCACCGAAGCAATACCAAAGTTTAGTTGATGGAGCCCCGCTATTTCTGGATGCTTTATGAGAAAATAACCACAAATCCTTCTAACCAAACTATCTGAGTTGGTGTGCCCCAAGTTCCGAGCTTGCTTTGCTTGCTCTTGTACCAAATAAAACACCAAAATGTTTACTTTAATAAGTAAACATATTTTATCACTTTTGCTATTATATTTCATAATGTTCGGCCTGCACAAGTACTCCACTATTGCATCACTAAAATATGTTATTTTTTAATACCACCTGTGAGATTCCATCTAAGTTTTTTCTAGGAATTCTGGTAATATAATGATTTCTTATACTTACGCGAACACTACACATTTAAATAATACTAGTTTTTACGGATTTTATCATGTTTTTTATATACCCGACATTTCGAGCACTTTACAGCACCCATGGTCACAGGGGGGACTGAGATGTTCAACGTCCAGATGTCATAGTTAATTGTGGTTACCATAGATTATAATTATTAATTTTTGTTCCGATCTACAACATGTAACGTAATGTTTAGAATCGTTTACTGAATCGATTCCTATCATTTTTAATATAGGTAATTTTTATCCCAAAAATAATTAAAACTACGTAAATTACAGTCACACTAAATCTGTACAGTCAAAACAAACTTAAATGGACCGTAACTTAAGGCAATAAGACTTTTAATAGTGCAGTTTTATTTGTATTATTACCAATTCTGTCATTCAATAAAAATAAAGAAAAATGAACTTTATTTCAAGCATGTTAAAGTCTTTGCGTTCGTGGATTTGTACTGTGACCACAACATTCTTCCGGAATTAGTATAACTAATTAGATAAATAATCAGTGCATAAAAATGTTTAACTAAAAATTCAGTTTATGTATTATTTTTATGCACTGATTATTATATAGATAAATAATCAGTGCATAAAAATGTTTAACTAAAAATTCAGTGTACGAGGGTGGATTGAAAAGTACTCGGCCTAACACAGATCCATTCAATTCTAAAAATCAAATCTACCCACATTATTTAGTTCAGTTCAGACTAGTTCATTGTGTGAAGTTCGAAACGTGTGCGATAATTAGTTGTGATTTTATAAATGTATTAACAAAGTAATCGGACATAATTTCCGCGAATGGAGCAAATCGAGCAGCGTGCCGTCATTATGTACCTCCATAAGAAGGGGCTATCATCAAAAGCCATCCATGATGACATGGTCAGTACATTAGGCGATTGTGCTCTGTCATATTCATCCGTCAAAAAATGGATAGTATAATTTAAGCGTGGTAGAGAGTGTGAAAGATGAACCCCGCTCTGGAAGGCCTTCGACGTCAACTACTGATGAAAATATTAAAAAAGTACTTGATTTAATAATGGGAGACCGCAGATTAAAAATTAGAGAGATAGCCGAGATTATAGGCATCTCTTATGAACGAACTCAAAACATCATAGTCAACGAGTTGGGTTTCCACAAGGTGTCTGCGAGGTGGGTTCCGCGACTGCTTTCAGTTGAACAAAAAAGGACGCGATTGACTATTTCACGCGACTGTTTGGAGTTATTTGAAGCCGATGCAGATGATTTTTTTGAATCGTTTTGTTACTATGGACGAAACATGGGTTCATTACTGTACACCGGAAACAAAACAACAATCAAAACAGTGGAGAAGACCTGGTTCACCACCCCTCTAAAAAGGCTAAGTCGATTTTGTCGGCAAATAAGGTGATGGCTTCAGTATTCTGGGACTCGAAAGGTGTGATTATGATTGATTATCTTGAAAGGGGTCAAACTATAAAGTCTGATTACTACTGCACCTTACTACGTCGTTTACGAGAGGAAATAAAAGAAAAACGTCGAGGAATGCTCAGAAGAAAAGTCCTGTTTCATCAAGATAACGCCCGTGTTCACACGTCAATACAGTCAATGGCTGAAATTCACAACTGTGGCTTTGAACTGTTACCGCATCCGCCGTATTCACCTGATCTGGCACCATCAGACTTCTTTCTGTTCCCTAACCTAAAAAAGCACTTGGGAGGTCAAAGATTTTCGACAAACGACGAGGTCAAAGCAGCTGTAGACGCATATTTTGACTCTAAGGAAGAATCATTTTTTTTCAACGGTCTAAATGCTTGGAAGGGGAGGTGGCAAAAGTGTATTGAACTTGATGGTGATTATGTAGAAAAATAAAAATATAACTGATTTAGTATGTGTTTATTTTCTTGGTTAGGCCGAGTACTTTTCAATCCACCCTCGTATTTATTATGATTATAACATAATATACTAATTGGGGTGTCTGAGGGTGTGCGTTAATTACGTTACATATTGCATATATCTTTTGGTAATACCCTATATTGTTATACCTTTTTGGATAGCTGAAGATACATAGATATTTTTACGTACATCTGCAACATACCTGCCATGCCATAAGAACCTGCCATAGATTTTTTTAAATATTCCTCAAAGAAAAAAATACTTTTTCAATTATCAATCGTCTACTACGACCCAGATTGTTTATTTACCTAAGATCTTGGTCAAAACATCGGGAAATAAAAATAAGTTAAAAAAGTAGATTAAACACGATAAAATCTGTAAATATAGTTTTATTCAATAAGATATTGATGTTTAAAATAATAAAGCAACTTATCTACTACACAAAAGTAATAAGAAAAATAAAATAAAATGCACAAATTACAAAAAAATTTGTATACTAGACAAAAACTTAGCAATTTTTTGTCTATTGTACTAATTTAAAAAAAAACTTAAATATCCAATATCTTGAAAATGGTTAAGTTTGGGGTATTGTGACTCATAGTCGAAACAGTCTGTGATGCTGCAAACTACAACCCCCTAAAGGTCAACTTAACATGTAACCCTGTTTATATATATTTCAATATTTATCGACTATGTTCCAAATTATGATTCAAAATGCAATCAACTTGCTACAATTAAATTTATTTTTACTAAATTATTGTACAAATTTTCTAGGTTGTCTATTTAAATATAATGTTTTGTTATTTTAATTTCAGGCTTGAAGGTGACTAAGCCCAAAAGGACTCAAATTAGTACAAAAATTAATGTGTTAAAAAAGGAACTTAAAAGCATGAATATAGCAAATGAGAAATATTCAAAAAGACTTAAGAAGGCAATGAATCTATCAGAAAATACTACTTTCTTGAAAGCAATTAAAAGTTTTACCTCAATAGCAACAATTTTTACCGTGCTCCAATTCCGAGAATGTGGTAAACACAAAATGGGCAGACGATTCACACCAGATGAAAAAGTAATGGCATTACATTTTTTTTAAAGTGGGCCAAGAGCCTACAGGATGTTGCAAAAGATATTTGTTCTGCCATCACCTTTCACCTTAAGCAAGATGGTGTCTAAGGCCAATATTAAGCCTGGTATAAATGAAAACATATTTTACCAACTTAAGAAGCAAGCATCTAAAATGAAAGCCAATGATAAATTGTGTACACTGGTTTTTGATGAAATGGCCTTAACGCCACATATTGATTATGACAGGAAAAATGACAGGATTACTGGTTTAGTTGACAATGGTGATGTGGTGAGGACAGAAATAGCTGATCATGTGTTAGTACTTTATGATTAGAGGTATTCTAAAAAACTATAAACAGCCGATATCATATTCATTTTGTGCTGGCAGTACAAAAAAGCTGAATTAGTCTTAATGATTAAGATAAATATAAGAAAATTGAAGGAGTCTGGCTTTAAAGTCCTTGCTACTGTATGCGACCAGGGAACATCAAATGTTAGTGCCATTAACCACTTGATTGAACAAACAAGGTTGGATTATGCAAGAGTGGGTAAAGAAGCAAGGGATGCAGTATTTGAGGTTGATAATGAAAAAGTGGTACCATTGTTTGATGTGTCTCACTAATTAAAAGGAATCCGAAATAACTTGCTCACTAAAAATTTAAAATACACTATGGAAGGCACTGATAGAATCGCAAAATGGGACCACATTATGAAACTCTTTGAAAATAACCCTACATATAAAGGCATAAGATTAATTAAAAAGCTAACTGAATCTCATTGTGACCCAAATAAAATACCTAAAATGAAAGTCAAGCATGCAACTCAAATTTTCAGTCATACTGTAGGAGTTAATATGGGATATCTAGCTGGTAAGTTCAAATGACACTATGTGTACTGTGTGAAATCTTAGAGTTATTGTAGACAGTCTGAAAGTCAGCTGCAAAATTGCAGTTTCTGTGCAGAAACTTAATAATGACGTATATAATATACTTACAGTAAAATAGATAAAATATAGCTTCACTTGAATTTTATTTTCTATTTCAGATCAACGATTACTGCCAAATGAATGTAAAGATACAGCCGACGCACTATTATTTTTTGATAATTTGTTCGACTCATTGAATGTCAGCTTCAATAACTCCTCAAAGACAAGTGGCAAACCATTGCTGCTAGCGCTTACACCAAACGCAGAGCATCAAGAAGTTTGTACAAAATCAAAACTCATCCTCAAATCTATGAAATTCGTATCCAAAAAGGGTAATGTTGGTGTGGTTCCATCAATAAGTAACTGGATACGTACCATTGAAAATATGGAAAGATTAAAAAGTGCATTATTCAATGTGTACAATATAAAATCAATCTGGTGCCGGCTTTTAACCAGGACCCGTTGGAGAATTTTTTCGGAAGTGTAAGAAGTCATGGCTATCGAAATAATTCTCCAACATGTGCAGGATTTGAATCCGCCTTTGTAGCACTTGTGGTGAATAATTTAAGCAGCAATTGTTCGCCGGGTTCTAACTGCGAGGATGATTCAGGCTTCATATTTAAATCGTTAAAGGCTTTGTTCTTTACAGAACATAGCAAGGAAGATAATGTTTGTTCAGAAATTCGATGCGAGGATATTTACAGTGGTGAAATGATAGTAGATTTAAATATAAAGAAAAGGGACCCAAGAATAATGGCTGCTTTAGAGTACGTAACTGGTTACTTATTACGGCAGTGTCGCTCAAAAGTTTTTAAAAATTGTAAAACTTGTTTCGAACATACCCTACCCTTGATTTGGTTAGTTGTTTTTCCATTATACAAGATGTATTTCATTATATAATCAAGACAAGGCCGGATATAAATAATATAAGAAATTATATAAAAATAATTTTAGAAATCAGTATAGATTTTAAATTTTTGGCATGTGAAACTCATAAAAAAGAAATAATAGAAAAAATTATTAACTCTTCATGCATATTCTTTTTATATAATTGGTGTCGGGACGTAAATAAAATAATTGCTGGTAGTAATACCCACTATGACAGAGAAGATGTGCTGCAATGTTTAGCATCTGAATATAATAATAAAAGAAAGAGGAAATAGTTAAAAAAATTATTTTATTTTATTAAATAATTAAATAATATTAAATGATATTAACTTTGGCATCGCAATATATTTATGAAAATGTAATGTATGTACATAAAAACATTGGCCTTTTAACCATTGGTATATCTGGCCTTTTCTTAATTATATAATGAAATACATCTTGTAGCTTTCATAAGAATACAGATGTTCATACTTTAAACACTAGGAATAAACATAAGCTTGTAATATCAGTTACTGGACTCTACAGAATTAATAATTCGTTTATGGGAGAATGTATACGCTTTTACAACAAAATCCCAGAAAATGTACAAAATTTGTCATTAAACAAGTTTAAATGTTTTATTAAAGAAAAATTGTACAAAAAAAGGTTATTATATTATAAATGAATACATAAATGAAAATAACCCCTGGGAACGAAGTGATCGCCACCATGCTGGTTCTATAAAAATTCATAGAAACATTGTACGAAATAAATTTATTGTAAATTGAAATATGTTTAAAAAAAAGTCCCACTTGGTTTCTTGCTGGTTCTTCCCAGGACAAGTTTTTTTGCGAACCAGTGGTATAATATAATAATCTATATGACTTTCAGACTGTCCACAATAACTCTAAGATTTCACACAGTACACATAGTGCCATTTGAACTTACCAGCTAGATATCCCATATTAACTCCTACAGTATGACTGAAAATTTGAGTTGCATGCTTGACTTTCATTTTAGGTATTTTATTTGGGTCACAATGAGATTCAGTTAGCTTTTTAATTAATCTTATGCCTTTATATGTAGGGTTATTTTCAAAGAGTTTCTTAATGTGGTCCCATTTTGCGATTCTATCAGTGCCTTCCATAGTGTATTTTAAATTTTTAGTGAGCAACTTATTTCGGATTCCTTTTAGGCAAAGTGAGGCACATCAAACAATGGTACCACTTTTTCATTATCAACCTCAAATACTGCATGCCTTGCTTCTTTACCCACTCTTGCATAATCCAACCTTGTTTGTTCAATCAACTGGTTAATGGCACTAACATTTGATGTTCCCTGGTCACATACAGTAGCAAGGACTTTAAAGCCAGACTCCTTCAATTTTCTTATATTTCTCTTAATCATTAAGGCTAATTCAGCTTTTTTGTACTGCCAGCACAAAATGAATATGATATCGGCTGTTTATAGTTTTTTTTTAGAATACCTCTAATCATAAAGTACTAACACATGATCAGCTATTTGTCTTCACCACATCACCATTGTCAACTAAACCAGTAATACTGTCATTTTCCTGTCATAATCAATATGTGGCGTTAAGGCCATTTCATTAAAAACCAGTGTACACAATTTATCGTTGGTTTTCATTTTAGATGCTTGCTTCTTAAGCTGGTAAAATATGTTTTCATTTATACCAGGCTTAATATTGGCCTTAGACACTATCTTGCTTAAGGTGAAAGGTGATGGCAGAACAAATATCTTTTGCGGCATCTTGTAGGCTCTTGGTCGACGTTTAAAAAAATGTAATGCCATCACTTTTTCATCTGGTGTGAATCGTCTGCCCATTTTGTGTTTACCATATTCTCTAAATTGGAGCACGGTAAAATTTGTTGCAATTGAGATAAAACTTTTAATTGCTTTCAAGAAAGTAGTATTTTCTGATAGATTCATTGCCTTCTTAAGTCTTTTTGAATATTTCTCATTTGCTATATTCATGCTTTTAAGTTTCTTTTTTAACACATTAATTCTTATACAGTGAAACCTGGTTAAGTGAGACATCAAGGGACCTGCAATGTCGTTTCACTTATAGAGGTATTCCACTTACCCAGTGTCTCATATATACAGGTATAAATAAATATCTGTCTCATTTACAGAGGCTTCCATTAATAGAGGTGAGAATACAGGTTATTTCAGTTATACAGGTGCGATCATTAAATAAAATAACGTGTTATGTATGTAAATGAGTTTTAATAAAAAAAATGTAGTACTTAAAGGTAATCATACAAATGTAATCAACAAAAATATTCAAGCACGTTTTTACACGTAATATGTACGAATATGGAAACAGAATGGGTGCGTTTGGCAGAAAAAAGCGCTTGCAAGCACTTGTAAGCAAAATGGCGATCGTAAGCGGTGAGCGCTGTTAAATCGTAAATAGCTATTTTCCTCCAGGACACGATGTTAGTTTTAACCGGGGAATCTAACCTAATTTTAATATATGTTTGTAAAGTATTCATATTAAAAACTTACCAATCGTGAATTTTTAATAACATGTATATGTTTATTCATGTCATTATATTAATTAAAACTAATATTGCACAAAACAACTTATAAACTCTACTTCAAAACAAACAAATTAAATAAGCAAAATGACGGATTGTGTCAGCGCTACTGAAGTAGCAATCGTGTCCTGGCCGAAAACTATTTTAGCGCTTATAAGCGCTTGCTAGCGCTTTTTTCTGCCAAACGCACCCAATGTATCAATTATAAAAATCTGTCATTTTAGTTTGTCGTTTGGAAGTATCAGCCATCAGATGTTTTTCGATATTATAAATTTTATCAAATATGCTTTGGTCACCAATTGATGACATTTCAAAATAACTGTGCAAAGTTTCTAGTGCTTTTACTGCTTCGCGTTTAGAAATTTTTACTAAATTTACTTCCGCGCTCATTTCTGTCTTCTTCTTTCCAATGAAGAAGACGAGAAGGCATGAACAATGTCGCTTTCATTAAGTTCTCCTGAAACTATTAAACCGTCATCGACGTTTATAAAATCTTGGAATGTTGGCTGTTGATTATTGTCGTTGCTGATGGCTAAGTTCCAATCTTCAGGATCAGTTTCTAAATTTTCGTCCTCCTCTTGTAAGCTTTCAGCTACAGTTAGATGATGCCTTGATCCATTGGCTGCAATTTACTTGTCGTATTCGCAGGCAGATACACGAGTTTAATGTGGCTTA